ATACCTTCAAACATGACATTGTTCTGGGCAAGGTAGAAGAAAACTTCAGCCCACACCTGCTTGGCGACTTCAAAGGTCCTATCAATGTTGTGTTCACCATCAAGTAAGATCTCTGGCTCAACGATGGGTACCAACCCATTGTCCTACAAGAATGATCAAGATACTTTAGCTATTAATCGTGTTGAAAGCTTAAATTTATACTACTAGCGTAATTTTTGGCTGGTTATAGCAGGACATTACTCCATTTTACATGTTACCATATCACACTTACTATGAAAGTTACTTACTTATTGTTGGTAAATTTTACTTGATACTTGGAAAAATCTAAACATTGTTCATGCATAGAACTTAAAATCCACTTCCTATGTATATACCCCAACCTACCTGAGAAATAGCAGCGTAGCGAGCAAGACCCCAGGCTGCTTCCTTCACTGCAAGTGCTGAAGGACCATTAGGGATGCTCACAACAGTACGCCTGTAAGGTTCACAATTTAGAAGACAAGATGAGCTTCAAGTTAAGTAATTATTGCTTTTACTTATAAAAGAGAAGCACTCTACCATTTGGCAAACCGGGCGCCTTGTTGGTAGTAAGCAGCAGAGCGAGAGGCAAGGCCATCAAGACCTTGGCACCATGATTCATTGTTTGAGCCAGCCAAAGGAACAAGACCCTGTAGTTTACAAGCAAAAAATACCAAAACTCTTACAAATACACGACATCCTTACACCTTTTATAAAGACTCTAAGTTTAGACCTTTTACCTTGTCAACCTTAATACCAGGAACAATGTTCTGCTCAACAAGCACATCAACCATTTTCTTTCCCTCGACGGTTGATTGATAAAGTGTCTCCTCAAAGAGGATTGCACCAGAGATGTACTCCCCTAGTCCAGGAACTGAAACTAGCAGGGTCCTGAACGCCTGGCGGTTAGCCTCAGTGTTCTCCATTCCGATTGAAGCTAAACGCTTCCCACAGGTAGCATTGGACTCATCCATGGCCAAAATTCCACGACCAGGGGATGCAATAGTTTTCTACACTCAATCCATTAGCTCAAATTAGCTAAATATGCTTCATTAATTCATCTCAAAAAAGTTGTACAGAAAGGTTCTTAGAAACATCTAATTAATCTCAGTTCACGTTATCTCGGTAATAATTTTTAACACAAACTAACAGCATCACTATCCATATTCAACAAAATTATCAAGAACTTGTGTTTTGTCAGTAAAGGAAAACACTAGCAGAACTCTTTAGACAAATTATCCAGAGTAGTATGAGATAATTAAGCAGTAAAAAGAAGATAAGTTGATGTTGTTAAGACTAAGTAAAAAATATATGACACTTCGTACTACATGATGAGATAGGAAGCTTTGCAGTCAGAGCAAGATTCCTACTCTCTCATTTTATATAACAATATTTGACTTGGCACAGAATGGTTATATTACGAAATAACAAAGGGAGTATAAAAGACGGTGTACCGCGGTTTTGACGAGCTCATCAGCATAGGAGCTAGCACGAACAGTGAGTGCAGATGGTTGACAGCGGACGGAGACGGATGGAAGGCGTAGGGATTGGCCTTTTACAAACTCAGTTTTGTCAAGGACCGGAGATGTCTTGAGGAGAGATGCTGATGCCATTTTCTTACTTTCCTTATCTTTCTCTCCTCAACTCCTGAGTATTATCTTGTGTGTTCAATCTACAAGCAGAGAGCCCCATGCTCACTGCATATATAGTTCTAAAAGATAATATCATTTGAGGCCATTATAGTTTTGCCAATTAGTTCTTGCCAGTTGGCTTGATAACTTGCTGACTTGGCTTGACTTAAGTATGAATTTGCGAACTGATGGTTGGATTTCATTAGTCCTTATTTTCCTTATCATTTAAACTTCCTGTGCCACAAAATTTTGCAACTTTGTAAAACCATATAGGTTTGAGGCTCTAGTTGTTCTAAAGTAAAAGACAGATTTGCTAAAGGCAGTCTAGTTTGGGTTCTGTTGAGTGGACACTATGCAATGTCATCACAATTTAAACGAAGAATATAATCTCGCGCTACGATTAAATAATCCACGACTATGTTTTTAGGTGTCTGATACACAAGAAAAAGAAATGTTAGTAATATCTGAATTTGGACGTTGAATTCTCGACTCAAGGTAAACTATTTCACATAATAGGATTCAGTTGATATTGTTCATATGCAAACTTAACTAGTAAAATCTCATTTCCTAAATCTTTCGGCCTTCAACAAATTGAAAATGTCTCAATTCAATATTATTTCCATTCCCTCCATCAATCAATTCAACTATTCTAAAAGTGACAACTTTGAGGTTCATGTACCCATTATGTAATAAAGAAAGTGCTAAAAATTGTAAGGATCGTTTGGTGTGATGGACAAGAGAATTTAATAACGATATAATTTTTAAATGGTCATTAATTTATGGTTTGATAGCCAAGGGTGGAATTAGTCCTGGGATAAGTTATCCTTTCCTAGGATGGATAGTAATCCCAGAATACCTTTTTTTTAGTGGGATTAGGTAAGTAAAAATAATAAAAATATCCTCCTTAAACCCCATTTTTATACACCACTTTACATTCATTTATATTAACATAATTTTAACAATATTTATAGTAACATTCACAACCTTAATTATTCTTTGTTCATATGATAATATATTTTTCTATTAAAAAAGTACATTTTATAAATATAATTTTTATTTATGAATATGATATGTTGAATTTATTTGCCTAATTCTTAATGCTATTTATAATTTAATTTCTCTTAAAATGTTCACTCCACTACTAAATTGCATATTTTTTATCGAATAGTTTATTACTCACTTAAAATTTTTATTTATATATCAATTAAAATGTAGATAACTTTAATAATAAAATTTCTTTTACTTTTAATAAACTTAAAATGAGACTTTTATTTTTAAGCTTAGTAAGATGAATATTTTCTTTTTAAATTAAAAGTTTTATTTTTAAGCTAAAGAAGATTGAAATTTTATTTTTAAACTAAACAAGATGGAAGTTTTATTTTATAATTAAATAAGATGAAATTTTAATTTTAAAAACACATTGCACAATTATGTAAATGCACACTCAGAAATATTTAAGCTAAATAAAATGGAAAAATTTATTTTTAAGAATGAATAACTAAAACTTAGAAAGAAAATGTAAAAAAATAAAATAAATACTAAATAAGATGAAGGGTATTTTTGGAAACAAACAACTTATTCTTAAAAATTATGTCATGAATATAAGTTTGAATAGCAATAAAAATTAATCTCACCATAACTTATCCAAATCTAACTTATCACAACAAAACTAATTCTGACATAACTTGTATTTAAATGAAACGACCCCTAAGATAATTCGACTCTCTCTCACATTGAAATCACAAACCATTCCCTAAGCATTTTTGTCAATCACAATATCAATTCCATTTGACCACATGTTAAGTAGCAATTACTTCACATCATAGTTGGTGTATAATACTCCATTTGTTTCAAAAAGAATGAGTTCGTTTTTTTTAGTGTATTTAAAAAAGAATGATTATTTTCTCTTTTTTTTTGTAACAATTTTCCACATCGCATATTTAGATTATTTTCTCTTTTTTTGTAACAATTTTCCACATCGCATAGTTAAGGCCGCAAGATTAAAAGGACAGTTTTGTACATTTAACATAACTTTAATTTAGGACCACAGGATCAAAAGTTTTCTTTATTTTCTTGAATTCCGTGCCAAGTCAAATTAGATCATTATTTGTCAAATGGAGGGAGTAGGAAAGAAGAGAAAAGACAGAAGTCATCATTGAAGTTATCTCGAATTTCTAAAAAGATATCTTAACTTTGTGAGCGTCCTATTAACTCATAAAAGTATTGAATATCGTTGTAAAAGGATTATTTATGCCATTTGCTCACATGATAAGACGTGTGTGACGCTCACGTTAATTTCAATCCGACCCGATTTGTTTCAAAAACTGATGCTCACTCACGTGTGATACACACAAGTTATATCTATATTTTCATTAAAACTAAAAAAATGTTTCTGAATTAATTTCTCTCACTCGTCAAAGTTAACATTTTCACACACATTTTATTTATCAATGTAAAATCCTTTCCATCAATTTCTTTATCCCTATTATTTCCGCTAATCAGATCTTCTTCTCGCTTTTAGTATATGAATTTTTTTCAGTATTTTCTCACTTAGATTTGAATTTTTCAGTCGAAATTAGGGCTTAAAAATAAAGGGAACTCGATAATTGATTACTCAATTGGGACTTTAAGGAAAGTTGTTAATGGAGAAGATTATAAAGAAGAGCTTGAAAATGATAACGTTGGGTTTGAAACAGTAATGATAATTAATAAAGAAAACAAGCGAAATGTGACTCTTTTCAATTGGCTTTAAATAGAAAAAACAAACTTTCACGCCCGTGTTGTGCGTGATCGCAAACCACTTGAGAAAATGGGACAAAATGACCCTTTTACAATGATATGGAATACTATTATGGGGTAATAGGATACCCGTATAATTATAGTGTTTTTTTAAAAAAAATCGGAATAACTTTAAATGTTGGTATGCATTGATGGAATTGCAACTATCAAAACCTAGGAAAGATATATTAGAAGGGATAAATTAGTTTATCAATTAGGTAAAAGCTTTAAAGTTTTAAAAATTAGGTAAAAATGACAAATATATATATATATATATATATATATATTAGGTTAAATTATGTTTTCACGATAGTTCCAAACTTTTAATTTTTACACTTTAATTCAGCAATTGTCATAGCTATCAGGGCAACTTCTTTAATCGTTTGACAATTGTCATAGTTGTCGAGATAACTTCAATAGTTGTCCAAGCAACTTCAAAAATTATCCACACCAGTAATTACCGAAACAACTATGAAAAATATTATTGATTTAGTTTTTTTTTAATATTAAAAATAAAAAAGTAAAGACAATAAAAAATAGCCACTTGTCGTTTTCTTTAATTACGAATTTGCAATACATTTTTAGCTTATTTTCCCACCAAAGGGGAAGGTACACTCTCTCTCTCTCCCGCGAACCACCCGCTACGGCGGAACTACTGCCCCTCGCCGCCTCTGTACCTCACGACCCTCCGCCGTACCTCAACTCACCGTCTCCTACTTCGCTGGTCGGAGAAACGAGGACGGAAAATCCCGTTCTGCTAGTCTGCTGTCCACTCCTTCGAGAAACACCACACTCTGCACCTCTGACTACGACGACCACCGCCAGTGCTGCTTCCACTCAATATCTCCTACAGTCTGTCTCCATTGTCAATTTAACCGCGTAGCTCCCGTGAGCCACCATCTGTTCTGTCACATAGCAACATTTAACACTACTCGCATACTATCAGATTTCACTATATATATACCCTACTCTTTCACATTTTTATTGCTCTATTCTCTTATTTGTTGGTTGGTATTTAAGAGGAACGATATATCCTGTTTAGTGGTTTGTTACTTGTTGATTGCTACTTGATATGGTTGGAAGAGTGTTAAATTTCTTACTGATCGTGAAATTGGAATTATTTTTGGTCGTTTTGTTTTGCAATTTAGTTTTTAGTGCTGAATTGAATTTATGATTGTGTTGAGTGGCGGAAAATTGTCCTTGTGAAAGTGTGTAACAAGAGTAAGACCCTTGTCACATGGATGAAAGAAAAGAATAGAGAAAGCTAGTCTTTATAGTGATAGAACTAGTTGAAATTTAATAAGGTAAGAGGGATAATGGATTGAACTGCAAAAATTTGGTCGAACCTCTTCTCTAGTGATTCTCTGTACTGGAAATCAAAATCCAAAGGTTCTTTGGCCTATTATGTTGACCAAATCCTTGAAGATAGGTTGAGGCCAAAGAGACAGCAGGTCTGAGAAGCTAAAATGGAGAGAGAATGAGCTTGTGTGGTTGTTTCTTTTAAAATAGAGAGAAAATCAGCAGGTCAAAAGTTAAATTTTTGTGATTGTCCATTGCATGGATTGATTATTATGGCATTTTTTGTATGAGTCCTAGCTGACAGTGTTTCTTGTTGACACAGGACACAATGGATGAGGATTTTTGAGCTGGTTTCGCATCATATAATTTCTCCGTTCTATTTGCGAATTTTATAGAGTTTGCTATCGGTGAAGTAAGCAAACGAGGACGGAAAACCCCGTTCTTCTAGTCTGCTGTCCACTCCTTCGAGAAACACCCCACTCTGCACCTCTGACTACGACGACCACCGCCAGTGCTGCTTCCACTCAATATCTCCTAGAGTCTGTCTCCGTTGTCAATTCAACCGCCTAGCTCCGGTGAGCCACCATCTATTCAGTCACATAGCAACATTTAACACTACTCACATACTATCAGATTCACTATATATATACCCTACTCTTTCACATTTTTATTGCTCTATTCTCTTATTTGTTGGTTGGTATTCAAGAGGAACGATATATCCTGTTTAGTGGTTTGTTACTTGTTGATTGCTACCTGATATGGTTGGAAGAGTGTTAAATTTCTTTCTAATCGCGAAATTGGAATTATTTTTGGTCGTTTTGTTTTGCAATTTAGTTGTTAGTGCTGAATGGAACTTATGATTGTGTTGAGTGGCGGAAAATTGTCCTTATGAAAGTGTGTAACAAGAGTAAGACCCTTGTCACATGGATGAAAGAAAAGAAAAGAGAAAGCTAGTGTTTATAGTGATAGAACTAGTTGAAATTTTAATTAGGTAACAGGGATAACGAATTGAACTGCAAAAATTTGGTCGAACCTCTTCTCTAGTGATTCTCTGTACTGGAAATCAAAATCCAAAGGTTCTTTGGCCTATTATGTTGACCAAATCCTTGAAAATAGGTTGAGGCCAAAGAGACAGCAGGTCTGAGAAGCTAAAATGGAGAGAGAATGAGCTTGTGTGGTTGTTTCGTTTAAAATAGAGAGAAAATCAGCAGGTCAAAAGTTAAATTTTTGTGATTGTCCATTGAATGGATTGATTATTATGGCATCTTTTTGTATGAGTCCTAGCTGACAGTGTTTCTTGTTGACACAGGACACAATGGATGAGGATTTTTGAGCTGGTTTCGCATCATATAATTTCTTCATTCTATTTGCGAATTTTACAGAGTTTGCTATTGGTGAAGTAAGCAAACGAGGACGGAAAACCCCGTTATTCTAGTCTGCTGTCCACTCCTTCGAGAAACATCCCACTCTGCACCTCTGACTACGACGACCACCGCCAGTGCTGTTTCCACTCTATATCTCCTACAGTCTGTCTCCATTGTCAATTCAACCGCCTAGCTCCGGTGAGCCACCATCTATTCAGTCACATAGCAAACATTTAACACTACTCACATACTATCAGATTCACTATATATATACCCTACTCTTTCACATTTTTATTGCTCTATTCTCTTATTTGTTGGTTGGTATTCAAGAGGAACGATATATCCTGTTTAGTGGTTTGTTACTTGTTGATTGCTACTTGATATGGTTGGAAGAGTGTTAAATTTCATACTGATCGCGAAATTGGAATTATTTTTGGTCGTTTTGTTTTGCTATTTAGTTGTTAGTGCTGAACTTGAACTTATGATTGTGTTGAGTGGCGGAAAATTGTCCTTCTGAAAGTGTGTAACAAGAGTAAGAGCCTTGTCACATGGATGGAAGAAAAGAATATAGAAAGCTAGTCTTTATAGTGATAGAACTAGTTAAAATTTTAATTAGGTAAGAGAGATAACGAGTTGAACTGCAAAAATTTGGTCGAACCTCTTCTCTAGTGATTCTCTGTACTGGAATCAAAATCCAAAGGTTCTTTGGCCTATTATGCTGACCAAATCCTTGAAGATAGGTTGAGGTCAAAGGGACCGCAAATCTGAGAAGCTAAAATGGAGAGAGAATGAGGTGTTGTTTCTTTTAAATAGAGAGTAATCAGCTGGTCAAAAGTTAATTTTTTTGTGATTGTCCATTGCATAAATTGATCATTATGGCATTTTTTGTATGAGTCCTAGCTGACAGTGTTTCTTGTTGACACAGGACCTAAGCACCAATACCGTGACTGCCATTGTCAAAGCTCTAAAACCAAGAACTTTTATCCAATGGATGAGGATTTTCGAGCTGGTTTTGCATCATATACGTTCTCCCTTCTATTTGCGAATTTTACAGAGTTTGCTATCGATGAAGTAAGCAAAATTTTAAATGTTAGTACTGAGCTACGGAAACTAGACAGGATGTTCCTTAAACTTCAAGGAATGGTTTATAGAATGGAGTGTAGTCGTGCATATTTATGGGACAGCACACACTATAAGTCATCGATTGCATGGGTAGAAGAAGCCAATGGACTGATCTATCATATCAGTGATATCCTTGAGGATATTTCATTGAACTTAGGTCTCCGGGAAGGAGAAAAGCTGGTAAATGGAAACCTGTTGATAGATAAGTTCTTGTTACTAATACCACGTAAAATTAGTGGTATTGTAGAAGACTTAGAAGATCTGATAAAGGAAATGGGAACAGATTTTCTTGTTGACTTGGTGAAACAAGTTCCTAAAGTGGTTGCTACGAAGCAATGTTGCGGATTTGCTGGTTTATCAAATCCAACTCACACGATTGGGAGAGAATCACAAATTGAGAAAGTTGTCGAAATATTGACCCAAAACGATGTACCTCTTTGTATCACTGGAATGGCTGGCATAGGTAAGACAGTTTTTACCCACTGTCTTTGCGAAAACAAGGAAGTGAAAAAGGCATTCCCATTGCTTTTATGGGTTTCTGTTTCTGCAGAGTTTGAATTGGTCAGAATTTTGAGAGCAGCCATTGAGTCTGTCTCGAAAGAAAGCTGTTATTTGACGGATCTGAATGTATTAAGGTACACTTTACAAGAATTATTACTCTCGGGAGATAACTTTTTAGTGGTACTAGATGATTTGTGCGTTGAAGATCTGGAAGATTGGAACTTACTGTATGCAGCTTTTAAGGTTGAATCAAAATCAAGTAGATTGGTATTTACTACCCGAAATTCAAAAGTGGCATCTTTTATTGGTGCCAAGATGTTTTGTCTTCAACCTCTCTCAGACGAGGACTGTTGGAAGATCATCAAACAAAGGCCTTTCATTAACAATAAAATGCACAATTTAGATGTAATAGGACTTGAAATAGCCAAAAAATGTAAAGGTGTACCTTTGGTGGCAAAAACAATCGGAGACATACTTCACTGTTTACCTGTTAATGAATGGGATTCTTTGGTTAAGGGTAACCTGTGGGACTTGCCCCAGATTGAGAACCATGTATTCCCTATTTTTCTGCTTAGCTATTGCTGTCTGCCACAACACATAAAGAAGTGTTTCTCTTATTGCTGTTTATTCCCACCAGAATACGTCTATAAAATGAAGGATATTGTTCTGCTGTGGATGGCCGAAGGCCTGATTCATCCGATAGACGGAAGAAGAATCGAGGATATTGGTCAAGAATATTTTGAAGAACTTGTATGGGGGTCTCTTTTCAACTCTGGAAATGAATATTTTCATGACTTTGATGGATCTTATACCATGCATGAGTTCAATCATCATGTAGCTGCTTCTGTCTCTTCGAGTATATGTCAGCGTATAAAAGACAACCAGTCTTCTTACTCTTTTGATAGGGTTCGACACTTGTCAATTTGTCATGGCAATACTCAGTCCAATGGCCTACATAGTTTCTCCAAATGTCACAATTTGCGGACGTTCACGTTGTTATGTGCAACTAACATAGGTCCAAATGTCCCTACATTCTTTAAGAACTTCAAAGTTATAAGGGTTTTGAACTTAAAGTGCGGGGGCATCACAGAAATACCAGAAATTGTTGGCAATCTTAAGCACTTGCGGTACTTGGACCTTTCCAGTAATAACATCAGTACTTTACCATCATCACTGTGTGAGCTTTCGTTATTACAAGTGCTAATTTTGGAGAATTGCACATCATTGATGTGTTTGCCGGACAAGTTTAGTAGGCTAACGAATCTTCGGCATCTTTTCTTTGATGTAAAACATCAAATTCATCAAATGCCAGTAAATTTCAGATTCTTGAAGGAATTACAAACATTGAATGCTTTCGTTGTGGAAGCGGAGAATGGTCATACCATTGAAGAATTAGAGGATTTGAATTCTCTGACGGGATCATTTTCTTTAATTGGATTAGAAAACATTCTAAATGGACAATCAGCTGCAACTGCAAACTTAAACAAAAAGCAAGGTATTATAGAGCTTGAGCTGCAATGGAGGAGTCATCACGAGAGAAATATCGAATATGAGATTTCGACGGGTCTTCAACCTCATAAAAACTTAGAAAGGTTGGTCATCAGTGATTACCGTGGTACCACGTTTCCATCATGGCTCTGCTATAGACCTCACTACATGCTTAGATCTATTTACTTGCGTAACTGTGAATGTTGCAAAGTTCTCCCACCTCTGGGAAAACTTCAATTCCTTGAAAGCCTTACTATTGAAAATATGACGTTATTGGTAGTAGTCTTCCCTTCTTTAGTTGATCTTGGCGTGTTTCCGTCACTCAAGTCATTAGTTTTTTCTACAATGCCTCAATTGATTGGTTGGGGTTCTGGTGAATATGACATGCCTCAACTTACTGATCTGAAGTTCTACACTTGCCCGAAACTAAAGGTTTTGCCCAAACTTTCCCGGCTCAGTTCTCTCAAATGCCTAGAAATTGAAAAATGCGAAGGACTTGATCGGTTGCCATCTAGTTCAGCTTCTATGGAAAGTTTCATCATCCGGGATAGTCCAGCCCTCAGTGACAGTTGCCAGGTAGGTGGCAAAAACTGGAGTACATTGAAAACAATACCATTTGTACAGATTGATCAATTGGTAATGCCCACGACGCCACAACAAATCTGAAGTTCGTAGGTACTTTTTATAACTCCTAATGTATGTGTTTAAAGAAAATAACTAGTCATAATAGCTAATTATCGTGTGAAAATTTGTGATGTTTCTTTGCGGTATTTGCCAATTTTCCTCTTTTTGTATTGTTTCGTCTTGAGGTGTGTTATCAGGGTTATACGTTTCTGCAATCCCTCTCACTCAACTTTTTAGGCATCGTTTTGGAGAACACTAATGATTGAATACTTTGCTGTTTACACATATTTTGGGTAGTGGGCTGAGCATCCCGGGATGCTGATACCACCCCTTCCCAAATTTTGATGTATTAAGCTAAGTTTCAACTTATTTCTTTTGTTGCCCCTGCTTTTGTGCCTGAAAAATCTCATCTGGTTCAATATGTCCCATGTGCTGAGTATTTAGCTTTCATTGCTTACTTAACATTGATCTTTCTCTGTGTGTTGCTTTTATATTTTGATTACCTGCAAAATTGAACAAACAGTTAGTAAACAAAGAATCCTCATAGCTCTCCTCCCATAGGATTTGAACTTGAGAATTTCCTTTTTCCCTTTTTCAAGTCTCACTTTTCATTTTCTGCACACTTGAATTCTTAGGTAGGGCATCTTCAACTTGTCACTATTGATTATCCTCCTTCCTTGGGGTTCCATCTCTTGAAAATTGCTCCCACAAAGGGTTCCTTTTCCCAGTGCTAAGTTAGCCAGGTGGTCTGCCAATTTATTTCCTTCTCTAAGGATGTGCTTAATAACCACTGGTCTCCCTTGCATTAGTCTCCATATTTCTTCTAAAGTAATAACAACTTGCCAGGGAACCTTCCAGCTTTTGTCTACAATGTTCTTCGTTAAAAGTGAATCAGTTTTGATCACCACTCTATCCATCTGTGTTGCCTCTATGAACTTTAAGGCCTGTAGTATAGCCATAGCTTCTGCTTGTGTGTTAGTACAAGCCAATTCTCCAATCTCTTGTGCTTGTGCTTGCAAAATATCCCCTTGCTCATCTCTTACACAAAAAAACCAAGAGCTTCTTCCTGGATCTGTGTTAATTTTGATCTGTCCTGTGTCAGGTGCCTTCCATATTACCTTTGTTACCTTGGCTTTGAGATTGTAGTTATTTAGAGCTTCCACCACTATTCTCCAATTGTATGAGACATGTTTTCTGCTTCTTCTCCTTGTCTTTATAAGTAAACCAGAGTATGCAATAATTTGAAAAATTAACCTACTACTAGACATTTCTATATCTCTTGCATTACTGTTTGCAGTGTCTTGATTAATATTTGTTGTATTTGCAACTAATGATGATTCTGTCTCCTCTGACTTTGCAGGTTCCTGATCATCCAATGATGATTGCTTATTATCTGGTGTATTTTTGGGCGAATATATCTCTCCTGAGATTTCTGTGTTGATTGGTTGTATATCATTCTCCTGACTGTTACTGGTTTTGCCTTGAGGTTTCATATTTGTATAATTGCTTCTATTCTCTGTTATGTTGTACTTCCTTGTGAATCTTGACAGTTTATAGACTGTATGGATACTCCTGTATTGGTTGTATTCTCGTTTTGGTTGTCTGCTACCTTTGCCAACTCTTGTTTTTGAATTTTATCTGATGCATTATTTTTATCCCAAAAAGATGCTTCTACCCAAAGGTTTGGATGTCTCTTTCTTAGTGGACTTGTTGGCTAGTGATTCCCTTGTTCTGTTTTCTGTGTTTTCAGGCTTCTCTTCTGTCAACTCCACTACTCAAACTTGTTAGAGGTATTAGTAGCTTTGGTTTCTCTTTTCTCATTATCATGTTGCTCCTCCTGGTGGTGTTCGTCTTTTTCCTTGTTTCTCTTGATTGTGTATCGGTTGCTTGCTGTTGTTCTTCTTGTTCTGGACTACATTGCAGTTCTGATAGATTAACCTCCCTTTCTTTTAAAATCCATTCACTTCTGGTGTAGTTGCAGGTTGTTTCTTTTTATTCCCCTTTTCATTGGCTTTGTTTTTATCGTTTGTCTTTCTTCTTTCTTTGGTCTATGTTCTGGATGTAAAATCCAACAACCTAGTAGGTCATGCCCCTGTAAACTACAGCATGTGTAATCATGCTGAATTCGTTTGCCATTTAGATCTCACTCTTCCTGTTTTATCTGAATTCACTTGTGTAGATTCTTGAGTAAATCGATTTACACCTTTACCCGTGAACAACTAGATCTTGTTTGATTGTATGTGGCTTTGTCAATCACTAAGGTTTTCCTACTGCGCTAGTCAAATAGAATAGTGACACTCTTTTTAGAAATACTTGAAACTTTTTTTTTAATATATTCAAATATTATTAATATTAAAATAAAAATAATGAAAGAGTGTTACATGGTAATTTGGACTCTAAATTAAAGCATACAAATTTGTTTGGGATTTCTACTTGTCTTACTAAAAATAAAAATAAAAAATAAAAATTATTTCAGCTTTCTTCATCATATTAACGCTTCTTCTCCAACACCATACCATTGAAGCAAACATACACCATTGAATCTCGCACATTTTTTTCCATAACTTATTAAGTCTTCCTAGCAACATAAAAAAGTGTTTAGATAGGTATTTTCATTGCTTCAAGCTTTGTTTTCTCTTCTCAGTCAATCAACAACATAACAAATTAACTGAAACAAACTTTTATTCGTATATCACTCTATGTACTCCAATTTCAATAGTACTCAAAGTCGATATATTAAAACATTAAACGTTATTTCAAAGAAAAATTATTGTTTCAATGTACAAGAATTTTATGTTTTGTCGTGACAAGGATTAATAAAGTATAGTTTTAGAACTTTTCAGCAAATTGGAAAAGTTCAATAGGGGAAAATATTTTAAACTTTTAAGCAAACTTAATTAATTGTATTGCAGGACACTTTGAAATCTCTACTCTAGAAGATTAAAATGCAAAATGAATCGAAGAATCTTTGGAGGATATAGAAAGCAACATGAATGTAGTTGTACCTTTATTCCTCAATTAGTTGATCAAGAATGAAAAGAGACTTGCATCGGTATGAAATTTCAATCACTTGATATTGGATTTAAATTTTATCTTGAGTATGCTTATTGTAATGGTTTTAGTGTGCGCAAAAATCGAATTAGTAGATTAAGAAAAGATAAATCAATCATTGGTCAAGAGTTGTTTGTTCAAAAAAAAGATTTCGTTCAAAGAAAAGTCTTGACAGTAATAAGCAATGAGATGAGACTAGAGAAGGGTGCAAAGTAATGATATATATGTCAAAAAACGAAGAAGAAAAATGGGTTATAACTAGACTTGTCTCAAATCATAATGATGAACTTGCTTCTTTCAATAGTCAGAAATTCTTGCGATCAAAAAGAAAAAAAAAATCAGAGGCTCTGAAGAATCTTATTGATGTCTTAAATAATTTTGATATTCGTCCAAGTAAAATTACATCAGTGTTGATTACTCAGGCTGGGGGCGTAGAGAATCTCAATCTAACTGGACGAGATGTTCAGAATTTTTTGAGAACTAAAAGGCAAAATTATCGAGAAATGAGATGCACAATTGATGTTGAAATACTTTCAAAAGCGACAATCTAATAGCCCCAGATTTTTCTATGCAATACAAATGGAGTAGAGGATCATTTAGCCAATTGTTTTTGGGTGGATCCTAGGTCTAGGATAGCTTACAAGAATTTGTGAGATGTTGTCCTATTTGATCCTAAAAAGTTGACAAATAAATATACGATGCCTTTTGTTTCATTTACCGTAGTTAATAACTATCACCAATCTATTTTATTTGAATGTGCTCTTCTTTGGGATGAAACTTTTCAATGGTTACTTCACACTTGGCAAGAAGCTATGTTTGGTGTTTCCCCTCGTACAATAATTACAGATCAAGATGTTGCAGCAACAAATACAGTTGCAAAGGTGTTTCCAAATAGTGCACACCATTTTTGTATGTCTAAGTCATATTTCTCATGAATTTGATGATTTTAAAAGTGAGTTTATTAAGTGTTTACATTGTACAATGACTCTCGAGGAATTTGAAACTGCTTGGATTGATTTAATGAAAATGTACAATTTAGAAGAACATAATTGGTTGCGTAGGATATATGCAATTCGCGAGAAATGAATTTCAGCATCTGTGCGAACTACTTTTTGTGCTAAAATGTCAACAACTCAAAAAAGTGAGTATGAATAAATACTTCAAAGATTATCTTAACTCTACTACATCAATGAGTGTATTTGTGACTCAATATGATAAAGTTGTTGACGCTAGGTATGACAAAGTAAGAGAGAAGGATTATAAGACAAAACATTCAAAGGCTATCTTGAAAACATTACATCTAATGGAGGACGAAATAGCCAAAATGTATACTAAAAAAATATTTCAAAAATTTCAAGAAGAGTTGATTCAATCTCAAAAATTTATTTCAGAAAAAATTAAGGTTCGGGATGGAATACATGTCTATAAAGTACATTTATTTCAAAGACAAGCACCAACATATATTGTTCTTTTCTGAATAGGCTACTCGATTAGAAAAACATCACAAATTTACATATCAAAGATTGTTGCAACCATGTAAAGAACTTGATGAATTTCCATATGAGGATGTGAATGATATTGTATGTGATGGTAAGTTATAGAGTCAAATATGAATTTGGCTGTCATTGTTGATTAGATACTTGTTAATTCGAGTTAATCTGAGTTGAACCTAGTAGTTATTGATAGTACTAATAGTCCCAATTGTTTAGTGAAAGAACTAGGTAGTTTTGGAGGGTTTGGAGATGGAAAACGAGTTGAAAGATTCGTCAGACGCACCTGCAGTGCGCCAGAAGTTGGCCCCAGTCAACCAAGGCCTGGCGCCACCAATATGCCGAATCTAGCATTTTTCGTCCAGTTTTCATGGTTTAGACTTTTTAAGTCCTTCCAAAGTACATTAACATCCTCCAATGACTCTAATCACTTCAAATGATTTCTAAATACCTAGAAATCATCCAAAGAACTCAAATCGAAACCTTGAATCCATAATCCAAATTCTAGAGATGTTAGGATCAAAGTCAAGAAAGTAAGAAGTCAAGTCTAAAGCTATGAACTAAGTTAAAGTAAAGTTTTCAAAGTTCTTAGAGTCTTACTTAAACGTTTTAACTTCGTTTTAAGACTCAAGTTCGAGTTAAGGAAAATAGTAAAGGTTGAGTTCTTTTTTCAAAAAGGTATAACGGGACTAAGTTTTGTCTAAGAGTAAAAGTTTCAAGTTAAGTAAAGAACAAGAGTTGAGTTCATTTCTCTAAAGTTATAATGGGGACTACATATTCCTTAAAGGTTGCTAAATGTTTCACATTTAAGTAAAAAAGAAACTAAGAAGTTTCAAAAGAGCTTTGAATTAAAGAGGGGGACATTGATTTCCAAAAGGAGCTTTTAAAGCTAAAGGGTTCAGTAAATTATCTCAACCCAAAGAAGAAAGTTTTAATTAAAATCATGAGCTAAAGTACATTTTGGGAGTAGTATTAAGCACCGATGTGGGGATGAGAGTTCAGATAACTCAAGTTCTCATGTAAACCATATAGCCATATGGGTATTAACGTGTCATACTTTTTAGATGATCACGTAAGGTTAGCTAGTGGATCCACTAGGTAGAGGATGTTCTATGCGACAACAAATATATATAGGACAGTTCTGGCAGCGTGGTCAAGACGTTGTATCACCACTTAGGCTCATAGTGGTGGTTTTCGGTTAAAGGACTTCCACAGAAACTATTTACTTTCATATATAAGTAAAGTTGAGTTTATTATTGTTTCATCTTCAATGAATTAAGAGTTTACACTGTTTGACCAGTTTTATATATATATATATATATATATATATATATATATATATATATATATATATATAAAGATAACAACTCAATATAAAGCAATAAAAACATATATATTTATATATATATATATGTTTTTATTGCTTTATATTGAGTTGTTATCTTGTGGGTTGAGCAAAGCCAAGGTAAGTTCATCCTTACTCCACTTCGAACTTTAGAGTTGTACTTAGCATTCCAACTCGCATACTCGTACATTCGATATAATGATGTCAGTTTTCCTGCATCGATTTATGATGCAGACAAATGTAACCAAGATCAGCACGCAGCGCTTCGTTGATCCAGATTGATCTCCAGAGTTAGTGGTGAACCTCCTTGTATTCCGGAGGACATCCTTTTCATTTGCTTTACTAGTTTAGCTTTTAGAATGTTGTGTGGTCTGTCCCAACATCCATCTCATTCAGTTTAGAGGCTTCGTAAACAGTTAGTTTAGTTTGGAATCTATTTACTTGTTGATATTTAAGTGTCATTTTGGCCAGATTATTATATGAAGTATTTATTTGAACATACTTTTTTTCTTGATTAAGATAAGTTTAGTCTTTCGATGAGTTAAGTAAGCCAGACGAAGGGTTCGCTTGGGGGCCAACAATGGTCTTCGAGTGTCGGCCATATTTAGGGGTGGGCGTTCGGTTCTTTGAGTTGATTTAATCAAATTTCGGTTCGATTATTCGGTTTTAGAAAAGTGTGCACCATAGTTTATACAAAACTAGATCAGTTCGATTTGGTTTTTCTACTTCGGT